GCCCTGGAGGACAATCACACACACAGTTAACATAGTTACACTGCAAGTGACACAGCAACTCAGCTCCTACATCTGTGGTTTGTATATAAACCTATGATTTGATTCCCCGGATATTTTGGTGCAGTTTTATGCTCGCAAACTTTGGAGCTTTATGTATGCAGTAATTGTGATGATTGTGCCAGCCACTGATTATTGTTGGCAATGGCACTCCCTGATGGCAGCAGCCTCCCCATCAGGACAGCAAACTGTAGGAAAAGTGTGAATTAATGAGTTACATTATTTATTTTTATGAACTTCCAAATGTTTCTTTTCAGATAAATGTAGCTTTGGTTAGTCTCCACCCTGTTCATTTTAGCTTTTATTTATTTATTTTGTTTTTTACAAATGTTCAATAGAACACATTTAAGAAACTAATAACAAGTACTACAACATAAACACTTGAGTTAAAGTCACACCAAAGCCTCCTCACACAGGTTGACATAATTATCTGAAGAGCGTTCATGTGTACTATTGTTTTATTTTAGTGAGTACACATCTAGTTTTTATTTGTATTTCTGATACCTGTATCTTTTTGTCATATTTCATATTAGTTAGCTACAAGTCAAAGTCAGAGTCAACTTTACTGCAGCAGACATGAGGACTGCACAGTGGACTCAACAGCTTTACAAATATGAAAACACAGCACAACAGCAATGAAGGTTAGTCATCATATGTGAATGTCTGACTGATGAATATTAAACTAAAGTTATGCAAACAAAACGATTGCACAAGCCAGCAACAGTTAAAAAGGAAGCATTGTGGAGGATGACTATGTGTTTTCATGTATACAAACAATTATAGGATTGTGTGTCTGTAGTGCATGATTATGTGTATTTAAAATGAGTACACAATCCTGACTGCCTGTGGGAAGAAGCTCTTGCAGAACCTGGCAACCTGGTGCCTCAGGCTGTGACAGCGTTTGTCAGATGAACAAGGTCCAAACTGGCCAGATCGCAGCCTGATCAAGCATTGCTTGAACGAACCTCATCCATGGAGGCCTCACCCAACAACAACAACCTTTAGGACACAAAGAATCAGCTGCCAACACCACACTGCCAAAGGTATAGGACACTCCAAGAGGTTCACATCCCAAAGGTCTGCAGATAGTTTGGCAGCACAGGGGCAACCTGAACAACATTAGGAAGGATTTTTATAAATATCTGTGGGTCACTTGATTTCACACACAGGGGTGAGGATCCAGTGGTTATTTTATGTAATCTGATGTGAGGAAAATACAGTCAATGGACGACATGTATAACCAGCATTCAAAGTGGATATTTTCCAAATAGGTTTAAAAAAAAATTCATTTCTAATTTAATTTCTTCCTGTACTTAAGTACAAGGATTTTGTCAGACATTGGCAAGCATTTTGCCAATGTCTGGAAGAAGATGGGAAAACCCCCCCAAAAAAAACCTCTGATGGAAGGAAACTGGTCGGGATGTTTAGGAGCCACCAAGGCTCAAGCCTGACATGGAGTGGAAACTGCTGCATGACCAGTGCTTCTGTCCACAGTGAAGACAGCGTGACCTAACAATGCACTGAGAGGGTGCCGACCAAGAAAGAAGCCCCTGCTCCATAACTGACACCTTCAAGCGCGATTGAAATGGGGAACTTTTTTTATAGTCAGACATGCAAACCAAAGAACACTGTAACAACTGTAAAGCATGGTGGTGATAGCATCATGCTCTTAGGCTGTTTTACTGCCAGTGATACTGATACATTGTCCTAAGTGGATGGAATAATGGAGGAGGCCTCCCTCCAAATTTTTCAACTTCCCCTCAAAACAGCTGGACAGTTGAAAGTTTACATAGTTGGGTGTCATCAGGACAATGTTCCCAAACACACATTAAAACTGGAATGGATGAATGAAGCTCACACTGAGCTTCTTGAATGGTATTCCCAAATCTCTCACCTCAACCCTAATGAAAATCTATGAACTACGCTTAAAAGCTGGGCCTTGGCCAGGAAACCAACAAGTTTAAATAAACTCTACCAATTCTGCCAGAACAGTGGCCAAACATTCAACCAGAATAATGCCAGAAGCTTGGCTACCAATAGAGTCTGGTCATGGTGCAACTTGCAAAGCGATCCTTAAATATATATTAGTGGGGTGTATGTATATATTTGAGCCTGTATTTATACTTTTGACAATGTGCATATTAGAGAAAATCCAAACATTTTTTAAAACTTGTGCACCCAATTCTTGTTTTTTTAAGTCATTAAAGATGTATGCTGTACAATTATCCCGCCCTGGAAAAAGAACAACTGAAAGATATAATTATGAGTCCAAAATTACCCTGACATTCATTCCAGTGAAGAGTGGATGTAAACTTCTGACCACAACTGTAAATATTCTGCTGTGGAGGGTGGTTTTAACAGTGTAGCTGAATGGTGTACAGCTAGCACCCACAGAGCAATATCAGCACTGATCCTGTGAAGCTTCTGGGTAATGAGTCAAAAAAAAAAGATCCCAGGAAGTCTCTTCTTTTAGCGATTTTATACTCTGGCTCTTTAGCTGCCATCTTTTTTTTGCCCAGGTTTGGTAACGAACAGCTATTGTAGGTAGTGAGAAACCGCAAAGCAGGTTCAACAGTATCAGCTATACCATGCAACGCATATAAGTAGTTCAAACTGCTGATTAAAGCAACTTAAAATATTTGAAAATTCAAACAATCCAATGATTAAGCCAACCTTGAGTTGGACCCCAAAATACACAGCGCTGCTTCCTCTGGTTAAGGGCCCGATGTACTTCAGCTCTGCCTCTGCCAGCTCATCCTGCTGACCTATTTGGACCCACAGCGGGGAGTCAGACGGCAGAGAAGCCAACTGCTGCAGCTTCCCAGGCTGGTCTGAAAAACACAAAACAATACAACAAACAAACAAATAATTAGCAGATTACAAACTTCTAATTACATTTGATTAACATCCTCTGGGACAGTTTTTGGTCACATTTCAGGCCATAAATGTACTTATAATAGAAAAAAGCTTCAGTGTGCTCTACAATTACTGCGATAAACAGCCATTACAGTGTGCACAGTGTGCAGTAAAAACAGGGCAGCTTATGAGTAACTGGCAGCACTTAAGAGACACAAATCTGAACTCTCTCGCCTTAGAAAGTGAGTTAAATCAAGCTTCGAGCACATTTTAAGTAAGCAGCTGTAAAATCTGCAGTATTTTGCTTCTTACTTAGAAGTTTTAGTCGAGCCTCTGGATCTCTAACAGCCTCCAGCAAGCCAGTGAGGTCAGTTGGGACATCAATTAAGACTCTCCTTTCTATTTTTCCCATGAAGTCATTGTCCAACACCTGCAGGAAAAGAGGAAAAACACACGTGGGAGAAAAAAAAACAGGGAGAGGAGGGATGGTGGTGTGGAGTATGAAAGAAAAATTAAGAACAAAACAACAGGAAATTTAAGTCTGACGATTTTAAAAGCAGGAACTCAGCAGCGGCTGGTGGATGCTCGAATCTGAAGTGCAACATAGTGAATGTGTTAGGAGCAACATAAGACATGGGCCACCCAAGTGATGCATAATGTATATAATTAACTGAGATTGCACAAAAACACCACTTTAAAAGTATTTTCGAAATATTATCGCAAAATACTCAAGATTACTCCACCAATGTTAATTAATTTTAATCATTCTAAGTAAGTAAGAGAAATAAAAACAGCTTGTATTAGTAAAGTTGACGCTGACAAATGGTAGCACCTTTCAGACTCTCCTCCTAGCACTACACAACAACTTCCTCCATGTGTCAAATCTTGTGTAAATCTGTGAATGGAAATATATGTTAATACCTTAACCCAGGGGCTGTCCCCTTTTCTATCCAAATCTTGCTCCTGGCAGATGAACCCCCGCTGTAGCGAAATGGTACCTTCCAGCTGGTCGCGCACCTTTATGTCGGTCGAGATCAAGAACGTTTTGGGGGGGCGGCGCTTCCTGATCTGCTCATGGGCCCCTGACATCTTACGTGTGTGTGAAGTGTGGCTGGTTCACAGTCGAATTAACCCCTTCATTTTTCTAAAAATTTGAGAAAAATAGTTAATTAAAAGATACGTAAAGAGGGTTTAAAAAAAAAGAAAAAAAAAAAGAAACAACCTGTCTGTCGGGCCAAGTGGCAGCAGCGGCAGGTAACGTTTAAATTTTCCTCACTGGCGTTCAAACTGAAGGTTTGTCAAAAGAAATGGCAAAAGGCTAACTTTCCGTCATTTTCTCAACAGACAAAGACACACGGTTAGTTTTGTAAGTTTTGTAGGCGTCTATCAGAAACTCACCAACTTCATGGGCTCCGACCGTCAACATTTCCCCTCACATTTAAAGGAGCTTCGCTGCAATAACAAACCATACTGTGAAGCAGGAAGCGGGCTGACTGACACCGGCGGGGGCCAATAGCAAGTTAGAAGCCATAACCGAGGGAGGAGCGTAGACCAATCAGAGCACTTGTGGGCGTTACCATGTTAGGCAAAGGGGGAAATTCCACAGTTCTTGTTAAAGTGCTCACTGATGCACGTAGGAAGCTTCCACACACACACACACACACACACACACACACCACATGTGTTTTTTTTTATTTTTTATTAGCTTATAAATAGAGTGAATTCTTCAACTTACACAGAAATACATATCCAAAAAAAGAAGACGAAGAAATATTCTGAGCACAATCAGAATAGGATCCTTTAAAACATAAAATAAGTCTTTTTAAAGTGCAAAATTTCCAAATGTGCATCATGTGACTCTTTTTTAATGGCGTAATTATACTGATATTCTGATGTTTTACAGCATAATTAATGACAGCTATGGGGCCACACTCGATAAATAAATCATATTTCAGAGCTATATGGTTTTATTAAATCTCTCTGGCTCCAGCAGTGAGGACATATGACCAGCCAGTCCTTATTTTTTTCAGAATTTCACAATAAAAGCACAGGTTAGAGAATAATAACAATAACAATAACTAAAAAAATCACAAAAATAAATATATTTTACACAAATATTTTTCTTTCCTATCCCATGGAACAGCTTGTGATTCCCTCAGGTTAAAGCAAAAATATTACCAAACCTGTTTCCAGCTGCACATATAAACCCTTTCACAGGCGTAGCTAAAGTTATGAGCAGTGCCAGTGTTTTTCCTTCAATGATGAGTCATTATATCAGAAGACAGCAAATGCAGCGATACAGTAAAAAACAAAAAACAAAAGTGAAAAATGTAAAGATATCTGAGCTAAAACCTAAATGTCTGTAGTGAAAAACATAAATAATCTAAAATAAAATCCTCTAAATGTAAATCCTATATGATCCTTCATATGACAGCAGTGATCTTTGGTACCTTCTAACTTCATACACGAGTATTGTGTAATTCAGCCACGACCAATGTACCAAAAAAAGCATATTTCATTTAATGTTTTCATAATAATACAATGAAAAGTGTCTGCAGCAGTTTCACATGAAACACAGATACAGTACAGAAACAGTAGGCAGCATGCGTGGAAAGCTCCCTGCTTTCGGCTGCTTGCTCGCAGTTGTGCGCCTTCCTTTGACCAGTCTGAGGTGGCTTCTCTTCGGTGAATGTGAATGATTGCCGGGTGTTGACCTTTGCCGTCACATCACACAGAGGCCGTGCAGGTGTCTATAATGACTGCCGGCCTGGCTGAACATACAGTGGTGTTTTATTTTAAGTCCTTCACACTGATTGTGTTTCTCCGTGTGGAAAAAGAAAAAAAGAAAACCCCAGAATGAGTCATGCAAGTGTGAGCTTGGCTGCTACAGACAAACAACAAGCACCTGCAGCTTGTGTCTGGGCCGTGGCCTGCAGTGAAGGCTTGATCAGAAATCAGGAGAGGTGTGATCCGTGTTAACAAAGTAGGTGGTGAGCTCCCCCTTCCCCTTCACATTCACTTTTCCTCTGAGAGTGACGCCGTATCCCACAGTCTGGACCATCTGGGACGTCTCCTCGGTCACCTGCGAGCCAGAAAATGACAATAAAAAGAGTTAGGTTATATGTCTCTCCAGGCATCTTTAAGCTGCTGTGCCAAAAAAAAAACCCCACACCTGAGGCAACAGAAAAGCGCAAGAGGCAACGAGCTACCAAGGCAGAGCTCACAGCTCAGTATGAAAGAAAAGATGGTGTTGTGCTGGAGTCACATTAAGAAAAGTCCTGACCCCAGTTAATTTGATTATATGAATCCAACCACGTCCTGTCACTCAGCACGTCCAACCAATGAGGAGGGGAGTAGACATCAAGACCTTATCGTAACGAGAACCCGATGGTGCTACAGGACTGATCTTGTTCCTCTAGAACAATTTGTTTCCAAACACATGGCCCGTGGGCCAGAATTGCCTCAGCAAATTTGTTTATGTGTGTCTGTCTGTCTGTCTGTCTGTCTGTCTGTCTATCTATCTATCTATCTATCTATCTATCTATCTATCTATCTATACATGGTACAGTATGATGTTAAAGCCTTAGATTTGCTTCCAAAGAGTCAGCTTTCTTGTCATTCTTAAAATGCTCTTGGACAGTAGTTCTCCAGGTTTTATGAAGGTATTTCAAAGTTTTCTTTGGACATTGGCTGCTTTTTCACTCGTTTTCAGTTCATTCTTTTTGCCTTTTAAGAGTAATGTTTGTTGTTTTTATGCTTGAATCCTTCAAGCATAAAAAAGGCTCCCAAACAAAAAGCAAGGGACCAAATTTAGCCACTTTGTTACTAACAACCTGTTGTAAAAACACTCAATTTGTTTTTCATTTCTTTAGTTGAATCTATTGAAAAAAAGCCAAAGATAGCATAGCTTGTGTCATGGTTCTGGGTCAATTTGACCCTACATTTTGAGTCTCTTGTGTTTTGGCAATATTTTGCATTATGGTTTATGTTCTGGTTCACTAGTAGTCTCTGTTTAGTTCCTTGATTATTAGATTCCCTCTTGTGTCTTGTTTTTCTTGAGTTCCACTCTACGTTTCCCCCAGCCCGTCATGTCCCCCCTCGTCTGCTGTTCCTCCGCTCTGTCAAACTCGTGTGTCAGTCTTGCATTCCTTCATTTCCTGTTTTATTGTGAAGCTCTTATGGTCCATGTTCAGTGTGCTTAGTTTAGCTTCCCTGGTCTCGTCATGTCTAATTTGTCTCAGCTGTGTTCCCATGTGTTTTCTGTTCCCTCGTCGTTGTACTGTGTATCTAAGCCTCTGTCTCCCTCTGTCCAGTGTTGCGTCTCCTTCATTCCCTGCTGTGTGTTCTGCCTGCCTGCTTAGTTACTTGTACATTCCAGTTTTAGTTAGTTTTGCATTGTCTGATATTCTGCAATAAATTATAATTAACTTTAAAAATTTATTATTTGCCTCCATGAGTCTGCGCTTGAGTCCTCTCTTGCCTGCTTCACACAACCAGCACATGGCAGCTTGACATACATGAAATAGTGTTTTTGGACCAACAAGGTGATTCACAGGCAGCTATTGGCTGAAAACTTGGCATATCTCAGCCTGATGAGCGGGATGTCCTTAAAATACTGAGGAAACCGGACAAAGGAAGAAGTTGCAGGCCTAGTGTGTGGCATTCTTACCAGAAAACTAAAAATACCCCTAAAAAACACACAACAAAAATAGTCTCCATTAAAAATTTATTAGATTTTTTTTCTATCTAATAGAACTTTACCTTGAAATATTTGTTTTGTGTCCTTATGTCATTTTATTGAGCCATATATTTTGTTCTTCTTCTATAAGATATTTTAGGTCGTGTTTGATTTGTAGCCGCTGTAACAAACGACTTTCCTAACCTTTGAGAGTCAGTAAATAAAGTTTATCTTATCTTACTGAACAATATTGAAACTTTCATCAGACTGGCGTCCTTTAATAATGCATTAATGCCTTTACAAACATCAATAAACCACCATACAATATTTTATTATCATATTATAGGCTTGTTACACCAAATCCATCAAACACTGGTGAGAGAAACAGACTCAGGATATATTCCAAAAAACAAAACTGACCTGGATCTTGTCCAGTACTCCTGTACTGTCCATCCTGCTGGCCACGTTAACAGAGTTCCCCCAAATATCATACTGAGGTTTATGGGCTCCGATAACTCCTGCAATCACTGGGCCGTGGTTGATCCCTGAAGGTGAACAGCAGACAGAAGTTATTTCAGGGTTATCAAGACTGTCTGAGGAGGTGAGATCAGCACCATCCATGCACCCGTGTTGTCTTTCTTTAAATCATTTAGCTGTTTATAAAAATGAAAAATAAACAGACATCATGCAACTTCTGATTCGACTCTGAAAATAACAATAAATAACCAGACTATAAATAATCTGTAACATCTGCATTATTCTTCTGCAGAGACTCACCAATCCTCAATTTAAAGCTGTTAAAAGAGTGTGTGTTGATGTTTTCTAGCTTGGCCATCAAAGCGATGGCGAACTCCACCATGGAGCGCACGTGGCTGTAGGACATGTCGCATTTCTGTAGGGGGAGCCAGAGATCACAGTATTCAGTCAGCGGGAGCGTGTGCAGTTTGTTTACACTTTAAAAGTAGACCAGAAGACGGCTTTGCAAGCCTGGATTTGCAAATCCAAATTCCTTTCCTGAGTATGTCAGTCATCCTGTGTGCAACCTGCAGGTAATAACCTAAAGCTGTGACTTCAGGGTCACCAACCTTTCTTTCATCCCCCGGAGCCAACTGTGTCAGCCCTGCAGCGGCCATGTAGGTGCTGCCGATGGTCTTAATCTTCTCCACCGAGGAGAACTTGGGCTTTGAAAGAAGCTGCGTGAAAGAGACACAAAGAGGAAGAGAGAGTGAGAAAGAGGCAGAAAAGACAAAACGTTCCAGCAGGCTGGTGCTGACAGCAGCAGGACTTCACACCGTCAGCTTCCTCATACCTCATCGAAGTCTGATATGATTTCGTTGAGGAATCGCAAACACTCCAGGCCGTCTTTGTTTTCGCTCGTCTCGTTGTAAAACTCCTTGAACTGAGGCACCGATGCAAACATCACGCACACGCAGTCATATGACTGACTGTACAGGTCCTGAAAGGATGTAAAATAAAATTATGATTAAAAAAATAATTCCAGCATAAGCCTATTTTCATCCAATTTGCATGCAGGAGCCAAGTCAAACCTGTTCTGCTGCTTTTTGCACATGAAACTCCAAAAAGGTTTCATAACTGGAAACTAGCGTGTTGGTGCCAACACTCAACTCACTCAACATCCAAAAATCATTGATTTTTTTCCCTCCACAGTGTTTTCAGACTAACTACTCTCAAATATGGCTGACTGAATGGTGGTACAAATAGTAAGAAAAATATATGAAGCAGAAACTTTTTTCCCTTTATTTCCTGTCAAATATGTGCTGTTAACCAATAATTCACACGAGGTCAGAGTATGTACAAGTAAAGGCCATGAGAATTAAAACCACTCTAAGCACTGTTTTTGAGATTGTCGTCTACTCTTTCACTGTATGATGTCAAACAGAGTGGACATCCGTAATATGGCCATCTCAGCCAAGAATGCCCCACCCACCTATCATTCACAAACCTTCTGCTTGCAGGGGACAGCCAATCAGAAGAAAACTGGCTTAAAGGCAGAGATAAAGCAGCTTGTCTTTGATAGAGGATGAACTGAGGAGCTGCACCAAAGCCCGATAAAAGACAAATATAGGGGTGTGCAACCGACTAGATTTAAACCTAAATTCTCTTTTTTGGCTTTCAAATAAAGTTTTTTTTCCCCATCAATCCATCCGTCTTCTGTCATTTATCCAATTCAGGGCTGCAGGTGGGTGGCCGAAGCCTATCCAAGCTGCCACAGGGTGAGAGGAAGGGTACATCCTGGACAAGTCACCAATCTGTCACAGAGCTAACACAGAGGGAAGAACATGCAAGCTCCACACATAGAAAGACCAGATGGTGGATTTAAACCCAGGACCTTCTTGCTGTGTGGCTAAATCGCTAACCACTGTACCACCGTGCTGGTTTGTTAAAAATATTCCTTAAATCTATGTTCAATTGTGCCAAATAATCAAACAGGATAACTGATTTTTGCCTCAATCGAGCAGTTCTTGATAAATAAGAATTATTTTGAACTGTGAATCCTGCAAAGCTCCAAGGACAAAAATGTGGTGCTGCAAATCCTCCTTACACGCCCACTTTCATATTTCCTCATTAAATTCCTCAGAATGTCACACAGTGGAAGATAAATATGAATATCAGGCTTGTTTCCAACTGGATCTGTATTGAACAGATAAAGGACAGAAGCTGTGCACCTTGGGAATGTCTTACTTACCTGGTTATTGATGTTTTTGCCCACGAAGAAAGAGGCGACGTGGAGTGGCAAGACGTTCTGCAGGAGGAGCTTGTTGACGTTCTCCATGGTCTCCATCTCATCTCTCTCGGTCTTGAAGCAGCGCTCCAGCAGGAAATCTACACGGCAGCTCAGCTCATCCTGAGAGAGAAGCGAAGAAGCATTGGTTTAAACCCGGATGTGACATGCACGGCATTTCCTTTGTTAAAGAACTTCTTGCACACGGACACACACAAACACACACACTCACCTGTCTGGCCAGTATGATGCATACAATGTAAAAGATGGACAGCCAAATCCCAGACATGATTTGAGGGTCCTTCAGGACTCCGGGCCTGTGGAAAATCCCATGCATGTTATTATATGTAGAACCGTGCAGGCTTCTAACATGTTTCCATTACATATGTTCAAAGACCAGTGTCTTGTATCACACACAGCCGATGCGGCCGGCGCCCCCAGGCGAGCCTCAGTCTATAGAAAGCCGATGAATAAGTAATGCTGATGTGAAACTCCAGACCAGGATTCACAATCTGGACTCTCAGAGGTAGACAAAGAGTAGGAAATCCAACACTTTGGCTTGGCAAAGCACACTATGGCCCAGTTCCACCTCATCTCCTACACCCTCTCCCTGCACACTTTTACTTCCTGTGGAGGCTCGTCCACATTCAGTGCTGTTCTAAAACAAATAGCTTAAAGCTGAAGTGGATAATTAAAACCCCAACTATTAAAGATTAGCAGCACACCTCTAAAGTGGAGCGGCTGATTTGTGTCCGATCATTTATAAACCAAAATCCTGGTGATGTGTTTACCTTTTTTTTTTTCAAAAAGGTCATGCTTCTCAACTGGAAAAGGGTGGAGGACTTAGGCTACGTCCACACTAATGGGTTTTCATTTGAAAACGCATCATTTTCTCTCAGTTTTGTCATGTGATGCCGTCATGTGACCAATTAAACAAAGATAGCGGAGGACATTATATAGCAGTTGTTTTGATTGCTCTCAATTTTGACAGCCCTAAAAAAGATTAACATCAGTTTGTACATGCTCCGGATAGCTTTTCAAACTCTTTAATTCTCACTCGCTTTTGCGCACGCGCTGTACTGGAACGTAAGCGTTTTAGCCGTTTCAATGTGGACGCACAACTCTGTGAAAATGACTGAAAACGCTAGTGTGGATTTTCAAATCTATCCGGGCGAGTGTGGACGTAGCCCCAGAGTTAGGAGCTCAGGGGCTCAGAGTAGACCCAATACTCCACATAAAAGGAGGCAGTTGAGGTGGTTCAGGTATTTGACTGGGATGCTTCCTAGATGAAGTGTTTTGTTTGTAGATTACATCTGTCAGCCAGCTTGAGGACACCAGGGTGTCACACTAGATAAACTGAGACTAGAGGAGGCAGCCTGGGGGTTGAGGGAGGTCTGGGCTTGTCTGCTTAGACTATTCTTATTGTGGAGGGGAGGGTGGTGGTGGTGGTGGGGCCGGGGGGTGTTAGGAAAATACTGTTACACTTTTCTTTCATTTTTGGCTTTTTAAAAAGACACATGAAAACACATGTGGATATTAGTTGCAGCTTTATTTATCATGAAAAGTTTAACATAAGAGGAAAAGTTCTGTCTTTAAAATCACATTTACAGCTTAAATGTGGTTGCCAACATTTAAAAATACTAACCACCACCCCTCATGTCCTGTTATTTGAAAATCGTTCCTTCCCAGTCATCGTGTTCACAGCATTTTCTGAAAACCTGAGATTGACCTTGAGGTTAAGATTCAAACTCATTCAAGATTTATTTATTTTATAATTAAATGTTATCATTTTATTTTATTTATTTGTTTTTACATTTCATCATTATTATTATTATTATTATTATTATTGATCGTTTTTACAATTCTTTATTTTTTTAAACATATTTATTTTTATTATTTTTTTCATTTTCATTTAGACACTTTGGTATCAACTGATGCAATAGTGCCTTTTGAAATCTATTTATTAAAATCTGCTACAAACATGAGATATTGGAGGACTTGAACCTTGCAAAGTTATTATAACCATTGCTCTGGGAAATGTGGAGAATGAGGCGAGTGCTTTGCTTGTTTATCAGCGTTGGCTTTTTCCATATGTGGAGAAGTGAAATGTACTCACTTGGAACCATTATAAAACAGTTCGATGAGGCAGGTTGATCTTGACTCGAAAACATAGAGGAAGAGGGCGAGGTAAACCACGACAGCCAGCGTGAGCAGCAGTGTTTTCACAGACATGCACGTCCTGGTGAACACAATCACTCCCAGCATGGCCAGCAGGCAGCAGTACAGGTAATACTGCATGTTTGGACAGAGGGAGGTAGCAGGAGAAATATGTGAGTACAACAGGTTAGGCGTGACTTGGAATACTTCGAGTGAAATGTTCCAATAAGTTCAAGCAGCTATGTAACTCTCTTGGCCAAATATCTTTCAGAAATGTAGGAGCTAAATGTCAAGTATTTTAGCAACGTTCAAGTCTGTGCAGAGACAAAAAAACAAGTCACATAGATCTATAGATAACAATGTTATGAAGGAATCTAACAAACTATCATACTGCCCCAAAGAAATGATAAAGTACATTATTTAACATGTAATAAAGGTGCAGTGAAGCATTTATTTACTCACAGGCAGCGTGTGGAGTTTCAAACTTTCCCACACTGTGGTGTTGGCTATGCTGGTGCAGTTATTTCCAGGAAGGAAGTGCTGCAAGAAATTTAAAGTTAAAACAGTAAATGAGATATAACAGAGTAAAGAGGCCCATTTAGTTAATCTACAAAAGATCAATAATTATTTAGCCATAAACTGTTTTGTTTTGAATGAATTTATAGCTAAACGCTATTCTGTGCCAAAGTCTTGAGTCACCCCTAATTTCTTTTTATTTTGTTAGGAATATAGGAAATAATTGCAGTGATTTACTGAAACAGATGCAAACGTGCTTTGAAATACATTATATAGGGCATATGTTGAGATCTGGGAGAGTTCTGGGGAGGCTGATACTGTTTCTACACTGAACAAAAATATAAACACAACACTTTTGTTTTTGCTCCCATTTTTCATGAGCTGAACTTAAAGATCTGAAACCTTTTCCACAGACACAAAGGACCCATTACTATCAAATACTGTTCACAAATCTGTCTAAATCTGTGTTAGTGAGAACTTCTCGTTTGCCGAGATAATCCGTCCCACCTCACAGGTGTCAAGGTGCTGATTAGACAGCACGAATACTGCACAGGTGTGCCTTAGACTGCCAACAACAACAGGCCACTCTGAAATATGCAGAGAAAAGTAGATTGGTGGATTTTTTCTCTAAGGATCATCTGCTGGTGTCCAGTGTGTCCTTAAAAAAGGTAACACTCATTATAATGAGATATAGCAGGTTTTCAGCTCTTTGGCAATAACCTTGTTGATACAAAAACACAATTTTTATGTCTGTCAGACTGAGTTATCTTTCACATTTTTAATAGATTCAACTAAAGAAATGGGAACAAATGTGTTTATTACAACCAGCTGCTAGTAGAAAACAGAAAATTTCCTCTAAAAGTAAAACGACTGGACTGAAAATGAATGAAAAAGCACCCGATGTCCAACTTTGAAAGAACTTCAGGAAGCCTGGAGAACTGTTGGTCAAGAGCACTTTAAAAAAATAAAAATAAATAAAAATGAAACAAAAAGAGAGTTGTTTTTTACTCTGAGACGTTACTGGCAGAACGACCGATGAAGGAACTTACAAGGTTGAGCATGGCCATCAGCAGAGTGATGAGCACACAGATAATGATCACAAACAACCGCAGCACAGCCCTGGTGGCGACGCCGCGGGATAGCCCAGATATCCACTGGACACCCACCGGCATCTTGGAACGCCATTTCTGTGAAACAATAAAAAAAAATGCTATCTTAATAAAGCTATTTGCAGCGATTTTAGTTGCTTTAACTGTGCATAAACAAGTGTCTGCATATTGAGACGTTTGCACTTTTCATCCAAACTGTGAAGCACTATTTAATTAAATTAAACTGAATTTAAATCGCTGCTCTTTTCAGAGTTAAAGTGAGATGATAACGTTGATAACACTCGGTAAAAGTGAAGGGGTACTCTTGTGCAGAAACGGACTGAGGAGATGGACAGAGGCGTGTTAAATGTGTCTCAGCGAGAGTTGGTATAAGATTGGGGGGGGCAAGGGTTGGGTTTCAATGGTTTCCTTGCCTTTGGCCTGGAATAAAAAAAAAAAAATGCAGGACTAAATGTGCAAAAGCTCCTGTGTGTTCCTCTGGAGCCGTCAGTCAACCCTGAACCTGGACCGTTCACACCGCAGGTGCACGTACGCGTGTTTTCTCTTCATTTGAAGAACCACTGACACTGAAACCTGGACTGTCGATAAAAGGCGGATCACCTGTTGATATGTATTAAACACAGCCCGCCTGGGTTTGTTTACCTCCAAGTATCCAGTGAAAGCAATGAACAAGAACACCACCATCACTGCAAAGGTCACACCGTAGGACACCGCCATCACGAAGTTCCTGTAGAAGGAGTGAAAATTCAAGTTCACACCACTTTCTCCCCAAATAATAAAAGACGTGTGCGCTTGTGAGACGGCAAGCAGGAAACAGTATTACTCACGCCTTAGAGACCAGCATCTGGACGGTGAAAAGAGCGACGAAAATTAAACCTAAGCAGCTCATTGAGTGGTGCAAACCCTCCACTTCTGAAAAGCGGAACTGAAAACAAACAAACAAAAAAATAGTGTAAATGGCTTAAAAATGCTCAATAGAACCTTAAAGGCGCTTAAAAGTCCAGTAATCTCATCTTTGACCTGAATGAATCTACCTGTTTCTCTAAGTTGATATCGTTGAACAGCAGAGTCAAACAGTTGAGCTTCTTTGCTCTCTTCCTGAGTGAAAGATTGGAAAACAATCAGAGGACGAATCACAGAAGCCAGAAATATTCGACAAATCAAGTTTCTTAAATTAATTTTAATGACTAACAGTCACGCAGTCTTATGAAAAGCTACATACACCCCCACGGCGTCCACAGGAGTTAAGAGGGTACGGTTGGAGTCAGGCACTGTTAATGTCAAATGTCCTTAATTAACTGAACATCAGCAGGTGTCAGAGAACCTAATTTGCTGCTCTGGAGCAGTCAGGTGTTTGTTAACACAATGACATGACCTGACAGCAAATTCACCCCCGAGGTCAGACTGTGCTATGTTCAGAGAAACTGCACAAAGCTCAGACTCTACTGGCCTCAGTTGGCATGTTAAATGTTAAAGTTCATGACAGCACAGTTAGAAAAAGATTGAACATGTATGGAAGGCTTCTTCTCTCAAAAATGAACAGGTTAGGTTTACAAAGCTGCAGCCAAACACAGACTATCAGCTGTGAAGCACGGTGGTGGAGGGGTCATGATTTGGGCTTGTTTTACAACCACAGGGCAACTTGTGCTCGCTGAGTCGACCGTGAACTCCTCTGTTTGCCAAAGTGTTCTAGAGTCAAATTTGAGGCCATCTATCAGTCACCTAAAGCCTGGCTGAAACTGGTTGATGCAACCCAACACTGGTCCCAAGCAAAGTCCAGACCTCAACCTGAAACAAATGCTTGACTGTGCATAAATAAATCCTCACTGCCAAGAACAGTGGACCAAAAAAGTTCTACGAGCGACTGAATCGTGGGGTGTGCTGAGTTTTTCAGAGGACTGTTAAAACTGTTTTAACTCTACAGGAGCAAAAAAAACAATCAATCTTACCTTTTAATGTCCAGCGTGTCCAGCGATCCCCTAACACTGTTATCAATGACCAAACTGGGAAAGAAAGAGGAACATGTTAGACACATCCAGGGATTAAAGGATGGATGTTATTGTTCTATTTATTTCTATTAAACTTGAATAAACAACTAATGCTTTTTTGCATGACTTCTCTAGTGATCTTTGGTGATCTTTTACTAACCAGTCATCTTGTGAAACCGGGCGTTCCTGAATCAATCACACAAACAAACAAAGATAAACACAATGGAGTTAATAATGAAACGCTGATTAGAGGCCAAGCAAAGGAGGTGACGTGACACGCTGCATTTCTGAGGGAGAAACTAAGCAGCAACAGCACAAATGCACAGATACGTACGGTGGTTGACTTCTTGGGCCGTCTGGCCTCGGGGTTGCTTAGGCCTTCGAAGGGGTTGACGCTCTTCCAGGACTGGAGGTACTGAGACATCCGCAGTGACGCTCGCTGCCTGTTCTCCCCTGGTGTAAGATGGCTGGGCTGAAATTGGGGCAAATATTACAGCTTAACATGATTTGAACTGTGATTCATTTTCCTAACAGCTACAATACACGCAACAGAGGGTTTCCAGAGGGGACACCACTATCATCTTCCTAACAGCTTTTAATCTAACAGCTTCCCTTTTTACACGTAACGGTTTACATTGTGGTTGCTGTTGTGAAATTACATATTACAGCAACGTGTTGATTCCTTAAGCTGGGCACAAACACGGCTGAAATTCCTAACATGGAATGAGGCACAACATGTTTGATCTTCTGGCGCGGCACTAGAGCGAGAAAACACTCGAAAGATTCAATCTGGCACCTTCTGCCTTTTAAAGACAACGTGTCACAAGTTTGTTTAGTCACGGGTCAAGTGAGCGGGAACAGTGATGGTATTTTCACGAGTAAACTTCGAGTCCTTTTGAGATGATTTCCCCGCAGTTGTAAAGAAATTCACAAGAAGACAAACACGTGTTTTATTTGAAGTCAGAGGTTGGGATTTCCAAGGTTCGAGGAAATGAAAGGTGTTTCAGCTTGATTGGCTGCAGTGTTTTTAACAGGAAAATGTAATGTGGGTATTAATAAGGTTACCAGGGATCAAAAATACTACAAAAATTTGATAAAGTAAAAACATAACACACTGTAAACTGAAAACCAAAGTATAAGAAAAAAACAAACAGCTTCTGTGAATATCTGTATTTACCACATAGTTTATAAACTTGGAAAGGAGTAGGATGAAGTTCACATTTGTTTGATATAAATACCTGACCCGTGTCTCACAGACGGGCAGACACCTACCAGTCCGTGCCTCCTGGGAGGACGGTGTGGCTTCTTGGGGTCGATCACCAGGTATGTTGTTCTGCCCTTCAGAAGATGGTCCCGACTCCCCCCGTCCCCATCCTCAACTTCGTACGCTCCGTCCAAGTGTTGGAGCGTCTCCTCTGTGATGTGGACCCGCCTATAGATGAACAGTAGAAATAATAAAATACACACAGCTCAGAGTTTCATTATGTTTAAACTGACTTTAAGCGTCTCTCACCCAGGGAGACCTCCGGACTCCATGTGGTTGGCTAAGGTGACGTCATCTGACCACACGTCGTACTGCCACTTCTGCAAGCCAATTACGCCACAGAGCACGTTGCCCGTGTGAACGCCTACTCGCATGTTGATCTGCACCCCGGTTGCCTCTCGCAGGTTACTACAGGGAGACAAAGGCATGAATCAAATCAGTAAAGTTCAGCCCTGATCATTTCTGGCCTTGTTTCGTCCACAGTGCTAAGAAGACAAGAAAAAGTACCAAAAGACAAATAAAACAATATATATAAGTGTATATATATATTATATACATTGCTTCAAAGACCCTTCAATAATACGGAGAAAACGCCAACAATCAGACAGCCCGTATTTGAAAGCACTTGGTGACAGTGGGAAGGAAAAACTCCGGACCTGCTCCAGACTAGGTTTTGTGTTCAGCATCAGTTACCATGGTGATTTAGCCAGAAACGAGCAATTTTCCTGACATGGAAAACTCTGACGTTAAGCTCGACACAGCTCGCTGAGGCGTTAATCTCATAGTGCACCACTGTGGACCTCAACAAAGGGCAGAGACAGAAAGACAAGTCAACAGGTGACAACAATGAGTGAGGGGGAAACGGGAGAGGAAGGAATAGAAAGTAAAACCAGATCAGGTCACATGCAAAAGCAAACCTTCAAAGTAAAACAAGGAGCCAGTGAGACAGACAAACCCAGAAACAAAAGAAAGGAAAATAAGAAGAAATCAAAAATCAAAAACATCCAGCACTTCTGTTCCTTTGTGTTTTATCTTTAAAACATCCATTGTGTGTGTTTGTGCTTTTTCCTTTTTTTTTTTCTTCCATTGCGTTTAAAAAAAACGAAACTTCTGTTCTGTTATTCTCTACTTCCATTTCTATTTTTTTTACACTGTATTTTATTAAACTTCTGTTCTTGGGAACTGCTAATGATGAAAGCAACAAAAATAAGAAACAAAGGGCTGCAAATACTTTGCAGAAGTGGCAATCCCCTGTTTGTGCAGTGAAACACAAGAAAAGATGGTGATGCAGCGGAAGAACATTATAATCTCATGTTAACGTTTCGTTAGTTTAAACAATAACCCACACTGACCGCCCTGTAGAAGCTGCTTCTGTACAAAATGTTGTTTTTAATTTATGCCTTAGAGGGGAAATCAAAAATGAAAGACTATTAAAATAACCCCCAATCATTAATGTCAATCACTAATCTTCCCATCAGACTGACACATGACACTGTAATGTAAATTTATACACCTATTTTTATCCAAATGTGAGCAAAACCGTGCAAACAAAGCCAGATATTTCGACATTTCATGAACATTGTAGGACAAAATCACACAAGACCTCACTGAAATAAACAGCACCAGTGTATTATGGACTCTTTATAGTTGCCACTGTATGCTCCCAGCAGCAGGATAAAGTCTGCTTTCAGTCGTACATTTGAATATGAGCGCAACAAGCACAAAGAGGAACTTAAACAGGGTACATCACATGCAAATTCACAAAACCGACGTGCTTCACTCAGATGGAAAATTATTTTTGGCACGTCAGACGTTTTAAACAAACGTAAAGCACATTTCTTTTTCTTACAGCCGTCTGTATGCGTGGAGAAAAACAAAATCGCCTGAAATACATATGAGTAAAACTTGAAATAACTTGAGATAAACTGACCTGATGGCAGTGCACATGTCCAACCCCATCTTAACACAGTTCTTGGCGTGGGTGGGAATGGGGTCAGGCAGACCAGACACACAATAGTAGCAATCCCCCAGGATCTTAATGCGAAGACACCCATTCCTCTACATATGGAAAGAAAGGGACGAGAAAGTGAGTCCGGGAGGTCAGAGCTGACACAAAGCAAGTCTTTGTGGGGAAATGAAAGGGTTATTTCGGGGTGGGTGAGCTGGTATTTGCACCTTGGCGATCTCGTCGAATCTGCCGAAGAGCTTGTTGAGCACAGCGACCAGCTCTTCGGGTGTGCAGGTGCTCGCCAGCTTCGTGAAGCCCACGATGTCGGCGTACAGGATGCTACATGAACCCACACAGACAAACACACCACTTTACTTTAAGCCTTATTAACTGACACTCATCCATTCATTAAAGGACCTGTTCTATGCCTTAAAGTCCTTCTAATCATCATAATCATTGCACGCCACCCTCACACCTTCCCATTTCTGGCGACTAACGAATAAACTGCCTTCATCGTCACCTCTGAGGTTTCCACAAGTGCACTGCAAGACTGTGTTAGCCTGCTACCAAGCTAAAATCAGGATGTTTTATAAGCATTTAGATAAAACTGCTAAGATACCTTATCAGCTAACTCAAACTCTTTTTACACACATAAGAACAGGTGTGTAAATGTTAAAGGTGTAGCCCTATTGTACAATCTAAATATAGACCTTTCTATGTTTAGATTGTACATTTGGTCATAATTTGGTAAGTCTGAACTAACAGCACCCTGCGGTAATGTTAAAGAACAACGTAAATATCACATATATGACGCCATATCAAAGTTGGTGCCATGTGGTTACAGATGATTATGTTTCTCTAGATCAAAGTGGTTCACAAACACAGCGCTGTGTTTGTGTTGTCTTCAGGAAGGGGCCCGGGTCTTGTTCTCACGTCAGCATTATGTCATTTGATCAGACATCAGACACAAACAGATGACGCTACTGCTACATTTGTTTGTGGAGGGGGGGGTGGTGTAAACAGCAGAACCGTGTGCTGGAAACTTTCACTCTGACCTCACCCGTCCACACCTGAATTTGAGACAATTTAATACAGGCGTGCCAAACATAAGGGCCGTGTGCCGGAATTGGGCCGGTAAAGACGCCAATCGAATCTGACCCACTTTTAACTGTATTTTCATGAGTTTTTCTGTCAGCTAACAAAAACCTTCTGTTTTATAATTACGGGTCAGTCTCATTAATGACCACCCAGAGCTTTTTCTGATATTTGACACATTTACTCCTATTAGATTTCTTTCATTTATTACAGCAGCATTGCTTTGTCATGTAAACCTTCTTTTTCTTATATTAACCTGTTAGCAGTCGGACGTACCGCCCACGGTACATTGGATGGTTTAGGGGACTAATTGGACTGCTAAGGGGTTAAGGTATGTCAGCGATTCAAAGAGTAGTTAAACGTCTTCTTAGGAGAGTTTCTGACCCCCTTAAGATCAGTGCTTGTGTCCCACGATGCAAAGTCAGCTTGACATTCCTGATTTCCTACTTTTGAAGTCTTTTCTTGGTACACGTGTGTACAGCCGGCGAGTCCGCCCCACTAACCTGCTTGAAAATGTCTGCTATCTCTTATTCTGATGTCATTCACTGCATATTTTTACATTTTCAGGACTTCGTGTACTTCTTGAGATAGTTAATCCCACCAAGCATGAATAATAGAACGATATCACAGTCGACATCACAAAAGGACAATCAGCACTTTCTCCGGCGATGCTCACCTGACGTCTCTGTGCTGCCGTACATACAGGCTGTGAAAGTTGTTTGAAGTTGATTTATTCTCGTCGTCGCTCTTGGGATTCGACAGCCTGCTTATTACCTCCGTCTTCAGCTCCACGGCGATGTACCGTGGCAACACGGACAGCAGGAGCTGCTCCTGTTGCCGGGGAAACAGACAGGACGGGGGTTACGTGTGTGTGTGTGTGTGTAGAGAAGGTGGGTGAGGAGTTCACAATGGCTGTAAAAGAAAGAGATGGCCATCAAAAGCCTCCTTGAAGCGCTGCCATGTTTACTCGGTGGATCAAGTTTCATCTATTTGTTTACTTGCTGTAAATGGTTCCCATTCAGGCTCGCCTATTATATACGCTGCTCGACTTCAGACAAGTGAATGATTAATCTATTGGAGTAATAGCAAGAAAAGCATACAGTGTCACATAAAGAGGACTTTAATGAGAGCGATTACACATACGAGTCAATTAAATGAGCTGCCCCCAAGAGGAATGGAGGAGAAATTAATTTATCAAATTATCTCATTTGTTTATTTTACTACTTTAGCTGTAGGATGGATTAAAGCACACTCTTGTATCTTTATTTCAGAAATTTGAAGCAGGAGCGAAGAAAAGTAACTTTCTGGCTCGTCACGCTGGCAGCGAAAGAGACATCGAAACAAAATTATATTTCATTAAAGGCAATAAAACGCTCCAAGCCAAAATCAGTAGAGGGCGGGGTCAGATACTTTAGTTTTGTGTCATTCATGTAAGCAAATAACTGCAATGTGCTAAACAAAGGTAAGCAGAGCGGACGAATGCTCTGCCCAAATGAAACGGGTCTGAAAGGAATTCGTGGGCCTGATGTGAGTCACGTCTGTTTGAGAAGCTGACCTGCTGATATTTCTTTATTTCCTTCTGGGAGCGTATGGCGCTGAACTCCTCTCGCTTCTGATTGGATATCCGGAGGTCTTTCTCAGTCCTGTACAGGTGAAAAACTCCCACGGCGTTCACGCATGCAAACAGCACAGCGTTCGCCACCAGCTGAGAGAAGAAAAAGTCAGAGGAGAGGGGGTGGTTATACTTTAGCCGCCCTCTCATATGCGCTGTTATATGAAAATTAGAGACACAGAAAACGAGATATGTTTCACTAACTGAGAACTGCAAACTGCACAGCTGCTTACAAAGACATTTAATTTGATTTGATCCATGGATCATGAGCTTGAATGAATGCCGTGGCAATTTTTGGACTTTTAATGATTTCTTGGAGCTGTTCTTTGTCCAGGGTGCACAAGGTTGAACATATACTGCTTAAAAGTATACATAGAAGCTCAAATATATACATGCACTCACTTAAACATTTAATATGTTCTACAGTGTCTTCTCACTAACTTCTCGTAAGTGGTCATGACTGACTCCAACTGGTAGTTTCTCTTTGCAGCATAAAAATGATTTGTTTGATAGAAATCATCGAGAAGATCTGAGAAGGAAAGATTGTAGATTTACAAAAGCTCATCAGTTTAAATGATTTTATGTAAGTACAAGTTATCCGATGTGTCACCACTAAGACCTGAGAGAAGACCCACGGATGTTCAGGAATAACCCACGAACCACCAAGGCTCAAGACTAACATGAAGTGGAAACTGCTGGAACACCAGCATCACTGTCCACAGTTTGAAGCCAATATTACATCATGGATTGAGAGGGCGTTGACCAAGGGAGAAGCCTCTGCTTCAATCTCGACAGGAATTTGCAGCTCTCCACATGGACGAGCCAAATGCTATCCAGAGAAAAGTTTTCTTGTCAGATGAGGCTGTTATGAATTGCAAAGCACGTACCCAAATACAGACTCAAAAGCTGAGCTGAATAAACAGACACTGACCTTTGTTTACAGAAGCAGAAAAATCCCAGACCCCCAAAACAAAGTCCTCAAATCCAAATGCGGAAACATGCAGGCAATGTACAGGAAACAGAGGAGGAAAAACAGTAAAACAAACACAGGCAAACAAAGGCTTTAAATAGACACGAGAGTTATCGGGAAAAACCAAACAGCAGGGCAATTAAGAACCAGATGAACCTAAACCAGGACAGGAAAGGAAGGAAAACTAAACACAATGTACATGAGGCAAAAGACTAGCAAACAAAACAGAAGGGCCGCTAAGCCACTTACAAACAACTTGACATGAAGTAACCCTAGATACTGAGATTTCCAAACATACATAAAAACTGGTTTTGGATCCGATAGAGTAGGCTAACATTAAACTTCTGGAAAGACCTTCAAAAGTCCCCTCGACCACCTTATTGAGGCCAGGGGCTACTTATCTTCGCTAGCAGGCCTACCACTTATATTACTGCAGAGGTCCATGACCTTCGTAACACACAGTTATTACTGCTTTCTAGGGGATGCCTTCTTTGGGGATCTGCCAGGCCCGGGAGCCGCTGCCAGTCCCCATCCTCACTATGCTTAAAAGCCGGGTCTGTGCCAGGAAACCAACTTATTTAAATGAATTCTAGTGATTCTGCCAAGATAAGTAGTCACACATCTAGCCAGAATTATGCCAGAAGCTTGTTGGTGGATATCAAAAGCGTTTTCTTGAGGCCCAACATGTCAAGAGACAGTAACCCAAATATTAGTGGGGGGTGTGTCTATATCTGACCCTTGAAAATCCAAAAGAAATCATTAAAAGTCACGCACATGATGAGTGAATATGAACATCTGACCACAACTGCATGTGTTTATGACTTCACTAATAATAACAACAGGTGATTTACATTTTTCCAAAGTAACTGAGCCCTGTTGATACCGCTGTATCACTCTATTTGAATTTGAGGTTTGTTTTTTTTCTTTTCTGGCTCATGCAAAAGGAAGCATCTCTCCAAAATGTACATATGAACTTCCAAAGCACACACACCAATTACAATTTCAGCACGACCAAACCCTTTTCATTAATAAGAAATAGGGAAAAACAATTAACGTCACAAGAGGAAGGCTAACATGACCCTTGTGCCGTTAGAAACTAGTTTAAATATATTCAAATATGATATGTGTGTGAACCTGCACAGCCAGATCTGGTGTCTCTGGTCTGGTGACAGGAACGTAGACGCTGATGATGATGACGTGCGAAACACTGGTCCCTATCCCGACCATGAGGGCCCAGGCCAGCGAGAGAGGCAGCACCGTGTACACGCTGAGAGAGAGGAAGAGGAAGAACGCGACCTAAGAAGAAAGAAACATGCAGCAGTTTAGAGCTTATCCCAGCTGTCCTGGGCGTCTTTTCACTTTTAACTTCTCCTTTGTTTCCCAAGGAGTTGCCACCGTGGACAGATGTGTATGTGTATTTGGCGCAGATTTTACACCGGAGCCCATCCTGATGTAACCCTCCCATTTATCTGTGCTCAGGACCATTGGGACTCACCTGTTCCCACGCTGTCACTTGTCCGCCCGTGAAGACGAAGACCATCGCAGTGATGTATAGTATCCCCCAGACGAAGAGGGCCAGCGCTCCTCGACAGCGCCTCACCGTGGCCAGCCAGGGCAGGCAGACGAGCAGCATCGTGCTCAGGCAAAGAACAATGCTAACAATGGACAGAGCGCCCACATGTTCGCTTATTGTCTGTGAAGCGACAGAAAAAGTGAAATAGTGCTTTAATGTCACCAACATCTTAGCTGTTTGAAAGTTTTAAAAAATGCTCTAAAAGAAAACTAAATTGTCTGCTCCTGCACAAACTCCTGCACAGCATTAACAGTGGCAGGGAAAGGAGCACTTCCTATTAATATTAATGCATTTGGAAGAGCTTACTTTGCTGTTTACTATATCCAAAAAACACCTGCCTGCTTAGCACAAAGGAGCAAAATTAAAATGCTTTTATTCATCAGACGTGAAAGCCGGGCTCAGCTTCAAACAGGTGGTGCCATGTTTTTAATCTGCTTCAGCCACAGGAAGTAAAGGTATTTTAATTTTCACAATGACAGGGAGGATTGGTTATTTTTAAAATGGAAATATTAGTTTTGACTAAGTGTTATGGTCATCTATCCACTTTAAAAGTTGGTATTTATAAATTAAACAGGAGGGAGATTAGCATGCTAGCTTGGTGATGCACATGCAGTGTGCGGCTAGCGTTAGCACTAAATACTGCCGTGCAAACACAAGACTGGACAGTATTATGACTCAAATGTAGGTTTATGTGTTTCAGAGAACATAAAGTGAATTGAAATTCACGAGTACAATGAAAAGAAGTGCTTTCTCCTTTGTCATTATATAGCTTAGCTGGGCTATAAATGAGAAGCAAAATGTGATTATATTTTATTTAACTTCTTAGATGTCTTTTAGACCTCAAAACAGAAAACTTGTTGAGCAGGTAAAGGTGAATAGTGAATGTTTGGGATAAGCTCGAGTGAAAGCCTTTGTTCAAGCCTAAAAAGGCGATTAATCAACTTTCTCCCCCCCACCCAAAGTTTAGATATAAAGGGAAGCCTTTGTAAATACCATTAGTGAAAATGTTACCTTGCATATATGTACATTTTATCTTGTATAATATTATTGTTCTTTGGTTATACTGGATCTATTTATTCTTGCTCTGTCCAATCTACTGCTGTAATGATATGAATGTACCTATCTACCTATCATTTATGGGACTAATAAATAGGGGTGGGGGAAAAAATCGATACTGTGTAGTATCGTGATATTTTGTTTGCTAATAATGTATCGATACAGGGACAGCAGAAATCGATATTTTGTTACAAAAAAAGTTTTTGTGGACTGGAACATGCTCTGACTTCAGAGCAAGAATCCTGACATTCCTTCGCTGTCCAAATGTGTTTAACTTTTTTTATGGCAGCAATAAACATGACAGTTTACTTATTTTAATTTAAGACACGTTTTATTTTAATTACGTTTAAAACTTTTTTATTTAATGTAAAATTATATTTTGTTTTAATTTACTTTCTTCAGTTGCTGAAGGGGCTGCATAGTTTTCATAAATTGCATAGTTCAGAATAGCTATAATTGTACCAGATGGTTGCATTGAGTTAAGTTGGAGTGTGAGACTTTGATATTAGATAAAATGAATATTGATAAAGTTTACCTTTATGTACAGAATCTGAATATCACAAAATATTTTAAAAAATTGCAATAATATCATATCGTGCGTTAAGTATTGTGATAATATCGTATCGAGGAATGTATGGTGATTCCCACCTCTACTAATAAAGGATATCTTAACTTATATGATCTTATCTGAAAATTATAAAAAAAATTTTAGCTTTTCAGATAATTTGATGTTTTACTTTTATTGTATCGTCTGATACGATAGCAACCGGTTCTTACAGATCACCCTTTTTTAGAGACAGAAAACAGTACTTAAAACAGACTTTTCAAAGGCAGGTAATACTTGTATGTACGGCTTTCACGTACAACAGTGACTTGCAATTGTAAGAAGTTATGTGGTCTAAGTGAAGTGCAACAGGAATGCTGTTGCGTTTTGGTGAAACAGGTTTAATCCTCCATTTTCTTGGTGCCGCTGGCTGTAAGATTTCTCCTTTGCTTACGCTCATGTTGATAATCTCAAAAGTGGCAGTTCTGATCTTTTCTTTTAATTCTTTGGCATGTACGTGACTTGCACTTATCTGACTCTATATGCTGGCTATGTTTTGCTGCTTTAGGTCTCAGTGACAGGCCACCTACTGGCAACCATCTGTGCAACAGAAGTCAGATTCACACACACACACACAGTTATAGAGCGCTTTACTGTTTACTGAACTCTAAGAACTTTTAATCTCTCAGCCTATCACACCTCGATGGATGCATTTTGGGGTGAAGTATCTTGCCCAGGGAAACTTGGACTAAAATAGCCATCAATGAGGCTACTCTGCGTTAAGATAAGATAAGAAAGATAAGATAAGATAAGATAAGATAACCTTTATTAGTCCCACACGTGGGAAATTTGTTCTGTTACAGCAGAAAGTGGACAGTGCAAAGTTACATAGCAAAAACTAGAAAAAACTCTGAATACGATAAGAATAAGATACTGATTATGTTGTCTGATCTACAATTTCAATCAAATTTTGAACTCAAGAAACTACAGATCCACGTTCTTTTATTTTGGAAACAGCAACTGTGTGTGATGTGGACATCTACTTCCCTCTTGCATCAAAATCAGACATAAAGGACCAGGAAATGGACCTCTGGTGCTCAGTGGGGTGCATTTCCCAAACTGAAGCATGGCTGGTTAGTGTTCACTTTAATTCTCACCCTTGTGGCGGCGAGGACGATGATAATGACCAAACTGAAGACCAATGTCAGCACCAGTCCAGACACCATTAACGGAGTCTCCTCCACGCACTGCAGACAAGCCCTGTGGGTGGCCTGATAGCAGCAGCACACGCCCTCTATCACAGTCTGCCTGGACAGGTTGCTTCGTCGGTCGTCATCTTCGTTGGCCCACCTGATGTCGATGCTGTCTCCGGATTGGCTGGCCCTGGGGGAAACACTGGGTAATTCTGGCGAGCTTCCACTCAGTGAATTTTTCGTTTTTGCTTTAGTAGTTATGTCAGTTTTAGAATCAATGCTATAGTTGTCATGACTGTTTTTAGGGGTTTGCTCAAGCTGAGAGGTGTTCAAGCTGGATTCAGACAGATTGATGGGAGAGATCCGGCTAGCCTTTTCGAATACATTTCCATCGAGCTCAGACAGCTCTTCATCACAGGAATCAGCGCTTAAACTCGCGCCGCCGTAACCGGGAAGGGATTTTGAGCTCCCGTAGTCCGAATCACTGCAGCTGTTCTTTTGCATCGAATCCCTGCTGTCACTTTGTAGCTTATCACGATCTGCACCTGCTCCCCTCACCAAAGAGTTGGCTTTGTTTGGTTCGGGGGCCTGTGCAGTCTTGGCCACTCCCACCTCTACGGAAACCTGGGATGCACTGAGTCCTGACTCGCCTCCGATGACGAGGCTGCCTGTGCTACCATTTCTGCTTTTAGCAGAGCGCTTTAAGTTGTCTGTGAAGTCCTCCAGCTCAATGATGTTGCGCCCGTTGACTTTGCCCTCCCCGTCGTTGGAGACGACAACAATATTTGGCACCAAGGACAGCTGCGAAGCTTCTGCTCCAGGCTTCCCCTCGTCCTGGATGCCTCGGGACTCGTCTGGCATGGTGACCCAGTGTGAGTGCGAGGGCTTTCGCAGTCTGCCAACCTGTCACTTTGCTTTTCCCCTTGTGCCCGTCAGCTCCTCTGCATGACCAAAACACACTAGAACAGTGTTTGTTTGTCTTTACTTTCCCTTGTCGGATGCTGTTAACGTCTGAGCAGCAAGGAGAAGAGTCAGAGAGTATTTCAGAGAGAGTCCAGCTCCTCTGTTTTCAGCACTCTGCAAGTCAGGTGATGAGGCTAAAGACGCTCCCTCTGGATGTGTTACGGACTCAAAGATTGTCGATAAGGAATCTTAAACTGCAAGATAACCTCTTTAGATGAGCTCTGATCCATACTGGGGGGAAGAAGGGTCTCCCTGTCAACAAGAAAAAGACAGAAAGACCACACATTCAGCAAAGGTTAAACCAAGCCAAGCCAAGCCTTCAGCTTCCAAAGCCTGATAACACGCGCACTCAGTTTGTACCTGCCCTCGGTTTTAATGCTATTTTAATGACTGACTTCTTCTAGTCCTTTCCCCATTATGCAAAAAAAACTTGTTAGTCTGGCTGCAGGCACTTCCCCAGTAACACACTGTTACCCTGTTCAGGTGTGTACTGGAATGACACGCAGCTGACGCACTCACTGAGCATTGGAAACATTTTTTCAAGCCACCACCTAGATGCAGTGGTTTGCTCTGATCTGCCTCTTCCCCTTTCCTCACTCTATCTGATTAGTATGCAAAACATCATGACTGCCACTTCCAAGTCCCAATTCACAGATTAAAATATCCTTTTGATCTGTCCAGTCTGCTGCAAAAAAACCATCAGATATCAGATTTAATAGCAGAGTCATGGAGGGATTACCCGGTAATTCATCTGATTCAAACCGCTCACCTTGACCAACCTGCACCCGGCGCAGGAGGTCAGCTTTAAGCCGCACACTTTGAGATTGAATGACAACAGCGTGGTTTCTTTCATTCACTCTCTAACACAGGAGCACTGTGTCTGCTCATGTGGCAGAGACAGCGCAGTTATTGTTCTTACTTTGCGGTCCTTTTCCCATGCCTGCTGGTTTCACTACTCTATTCTGTGTCTGTGAAGCACTTTACAGAAAGAAGAAGGGGCTTTCCAAGAAAATCAATGCAGATACCTGGTCCAGGTTCTCAAAACTGTGTAAAAGACTATTTCATAGTTAAGATTGACAGTTTAATAAAGTGTACAAAACAGGATCTCTTTTTTAACACTTACAGGACACTTAAAGCCATTTTAAACCACCTTTTTTTTTAGGTTATATAACAAAGAAAGGCAATTTGAAAGCGTACAAAAAAAATCTCGTTACAAAATTATTTTAAACTTAATTCTGTGTGCTGAATGCCACAAACTCGACCCACTGTCTTGACTTTAGCGACTAAACATCATTGGTCAAGCCAAAGAAAGTCCCACAATTTAAGGATTTCTCGCACAAGTTCAAGGGCAGCTGGTGAAGTTTAGAAAGAGCCTCTCACAGAGAGATTTTACCTGCACGGAAAACCTGGAAATCAGAGTTTGTAGAGAGCTTTAAAAGCAAATTCAGACAAAAAAGATAAAAGGGGGAAGGTAACAAAGCCACCCCTGTCTCTGTTTCTGATGGATGATGGAAGCATCTGTCAGAGTTTAATAAACTGGTAATTGGCTAAAAAGAGAGAGAGATAAAATATTAAGGAGTGAGAACAGTTTAAAATAGGTCTATCCGTTTGACGTGCGGCTCTTGCTTTTGTTGGGTGGTTATTGTCGCTTTAAAACCGATTTAACTGTAATAAATTAAAGCGGCGACGTGAACTGTGCGTCAAGGCGGAAAAAAGGCGCTTTTGCGCATTAACATCTGCGCTACAGTTACTCGATTTAAACGGCGTCAGTGTGTTAGAAAGACAGGTGAGATTCTTACCTCATTTTTTAATGATGTTAACGTCTCACTCACTGTCACTTACAGCCTTAGATCCCCCACACACAGTAAACCTCATTTCCCTCTTTACGCGTAACTTCCTCCCTCATCCACGGAGCGCTCACACGCAGGCTTCGCTTTCACAGAAGTTCACAAAAATTAATAATAAAATAAAAAAGGTGAAAAATATCCTGTGAATTTAGTCCTTTCTTTTCGAGAACAGACGTCAGAAACTTGCTGTATGTCTGTGCGCACCGAGCGACCGCTGGATTGGTTCTGGCGCGAGGCAGGCAGGTGAGCGGGGGCGGGGGCGTGTGTGAGCACGCGAGGACGAGCGCTCCGGTCAGGCAGCAGCAGCTATGCAAATATGATGAAGGTAAACAGAGAGGCAGAGACTGCCGAGGAGGACGGGTCAAAGGTCAGGCTGCAGGTGTGTCGTGTTTTCCTCAGCGATCCTGCGTGGAAGCTGAAGATCTGACGCTGTTTCGGGTTTTAGAGGTGATACCAGCTAATGAGAGAGCTGCAGTGAATCTGGACTGTTTTCAGCAAAGCAAACCTCAGCTCTGGAATTTTGGATTCTTGTTTAAAATAACTGAATTCTGACTCCTGTGTGGATTTCACAGCTGCTCCCCCCCCCCC